AGTTCAGCTCGTCGCCACCTGCTCCCTCCTCCTTTGATGGCGAAGCCAGGTTACTGAGGCAGTACAGCTCCCTCTAGCAAACCTAGGGCCGTGTAGTGCCCGTCCACCTTTCTGATGGTGTCTGCCTCCGCGCACAAAAATGAGATGGGCATCACTGCCAACGCCGACGGCCAGAAAGGCCCGCGCATCTACATTTTCCCGCCTGACCCCATCAGTGCCGACCCAACTCCACCACCACACGCACGCCTCGCGGCGGATGCGCAGCAGCAAGAAGGTTTCGGTCATCCCTTGAGGGTGAGTCTAGCCCTGCTCGCCAGAAAGACACCCCCCTTCGCTACAACCCATGTCTAAGCAAAAGCTAGTCGAGCGAGGGGAAGAAGGCAGTGGTCTTACCCTTGGATTTTTCTTTGGGCGGGTGTGGGAAGCGTCCTCCTTTGTTATATTTTTTTTCTTAGTATGACACAACGAGTCCATCTATTATAGAAAAGAGTCATAGACAGATTCACAATGCAATCATAGCATTTATTTATTTTTGTTTTTTGTTTTTTTGATCGGTTTCCGGGGGCTCGTTTCTCAAACGGTCGGTGCGGTACCTGTTCTTTTCTTTCTATCATTTTTGTTTTCTTTATCCGAGTGGTTTGTACCCTATTTTCGTTCCTTTGTTTTCCCGCGGCGTCGTACGTGCCGGGTTTTGAGACCACGGGCTCCCGATTTTTTGTAAACTGTAAAGCTAATGTGAGAAACAACAACAACAACAACAACAACAACAACAAGTGCTGTGAGCGCTGATTTGAAGTGAAGACAAAAAAAAAAAAATAGGAAAGAATGCGGCGGGATGTGCGGAGGAAAAAGCAAGATTTGTTTGTGAGCGATAGAACCAAAAATGAACACATCATCAGAGTCCACGCCTTTGCTCTCTGCGTCTAGTAACTCACGACCCAGGCAACGCTTCAACGCCCACATCGCCAGGCCCAGAGGAACGTCAGCCTCGCTCGGTTTTTTACCCTCTTCCACTTCGCAAACTCTTCATCAAGGTACCGCCTCTTCCCTCCCGGCTTCGGAAAAAAAGCACCCTCTGATCAACAGAAGAAGGTGAGACTGCTGTTGTTGTGGGTGCTTCATGGTCCACCCATGAGCGTGCTTGTGTGGGGGGGTCGCGGCCGGCAAGTACCCACAGCCATCCAAGCAGCACGGTGGGGAGTCATTGCACCCACGTAGGGCGAGTTTTTTCTCTGGACGCTTTCGCCGGTTGCATGGGCTTCTCTCTTGGCGCCCCGTCCTCCGGTGCAAGTGTGGGGTGAAACGAAGCTGTGCTTTTTGTGTTTCCGGGATGTCGCCACTACCACGTGTCGCCTACTCCGGTCCGGGGAAAGGACATGCAAGTAATAAGGGGGCTAACAACGGTCGTCCCAAAGGGGCATGTGGATGGTGGTCTCACACGCGTACGTGTGCGCTGATTGCGGCAAAGCTTTTTGTCACAGATCGAAAAGGAGGTTGGCGATGCTGTAGCCCAGAATATTTTTTTGACATCGAGCTGAAGAAAGACACAGAGCATACAACTCGTGCATGGTGAGCGGTTAACTTCACAGCAGTACACCTGCTTCAACAAGCCGTTCCCCCGTCTCATGGAAGGCAGTGTCAGCTGGATACCGCGCGACCGAACCAGAGGTGCCTTTTGTTGGTGTGTGAACAAGGCCATGGATCTAGGTTTTGCTGACGCAGCAGAGCCCAGCATGATCTGTCTTGGACGTTGTCCTTGTTGGTGCGGTTGACCCTTTCGAGCGAAAACGCTGCTTCGATGAAATCCTCAACACCCGGCTGATGTTCAACGTTGTTTGTCAACCCAGAGAAATTTCGTTTTTTCGATTTGATGTTCTACGGGACGACGGGGTTGGGTACCCTAGATTCGGAGAGATGCACCCCCGTGTTGTTTTTTTACTACATCGCTCTCCATCGCTCTTTTCGTCTTCTCGAGAAATTTCGGAAAAAATCAAATCTCAGAGTCGTCGGGTTGACAGCAACCAAAACACCGATACGTATCCGCCCTACGGCGCACGCCTCGGGATATCTTGATGATACCCTGGTAGGCATCATCGTGGTTCGTGGTCTTCCGCCTAGTTTCGTCACCCTCCGAGTGCCGTTTTTAGCATACGCCCCATGACTGTGCGACCATGTGCACTGTTTCTCTCCTCTTCACCTGTTCGCCGTCGTTCTCTCTTGACCGCTCTTTGTTCTTGTCAACCAACGACATCCAAACACGTCCTTTTGTTTCAGTGGAGGTGTAGTCCGTGAGGGGTGTGTGTGGGCTGAGTCAGTTGCCAACGTGACCGATTTCCAAGAAGTCATGATACGATGAAAGCGCGCACGCTGGCGCCGTTGTGCAAGCAATTCTGCATGAGCCAGCAGTGTGCGACCATGTGCATTCATGCGCGCTCTTCATCACTCGATTTTGTGCAGATTGTCGGGAAACAATGAATCTCCAGGGTCCGTGCAGCGTCATCATTCCGCATCATCTGTAGAGGTGTTTCCAGTGTACGATACGTAAACAAACTACAGCATGGGTAATGCTGCAGAGATCGGATGAGATTCATTCGCATTCATTCCACGTGTCTCAGCAGAATATAATATCACACCCTGTTGTACACAAAACGATTACCTGTGTCGAGGGTAATGTTTGAACTCCACAAGAATGTCGTCACGTGCGGGTGTGGTATGTTGTGCAACCTACTGTCAAATTATCCAACAATGCACGGCAGGGTGCCCAAAAGTGAATGTGGATTGTGCAGCACGGCGAGGGCCGAGAGAATCACAGCAGTGATACTCTTTGTTTACCCCTCTGCCTGTGTGGCGCGAAAGCGTGCCCACCTCTCTCTCTGGAACAGAGAGAAGCCGGCCGTTCTGCTCCCTAGCGCTACAAGTGTCGCCCGAAGCATAACTACCATGTTTTTTTTTTCCTAACGTCAGAAGCGGCGTCGATTCGCAGTTCTCAGATGTTTCGTCGCTGACTCCATTCAACTCTGGTTGATATTGAGGGTTTATTGGCAACAGCATCCCGTTCCACGTATCATTTGGTGGTCAGAGACTAAAAGGCACTGTACTGGCGGCGGCCCTAACAGCGCCCGCGACCAGTATGCCCAACGCACATCGGTTTGGCCGGAACATCAAAAGATATTTTATCGTTTTTTTTATCTTGTAAAAACACTCCCTTGGGCCTCTTTTTCATTCGATATGTTTTTCGTTGCTGGGTCAGTGTGTGTTTTTCGTCGCCCCCCCTTCGTGCAATGCATCTTCACGTCCTCTCCCCCCCCCCCCCCCTCTCTCTCTCTTAGCTCGTCTACCGTAAGGTTGCAAGTCAGCGCACTGCTGTCTGGGGTCTCCGCACGGTCCGGAGTTATCGCACAGGGGTGCGAAGCCAATCAAAAGGCTAAATGATTTTCGTTGGATTTTCGCACAGGGTCCATAGTCACCGCACAATGACGCGATGACTCACAGCCAAGGGTAGTTAAGTGCCAGCGATTCCGGGGCAACTTTTACCCCTGCAACCAGGCCAGTGCTGGCATGTTACCTGTGCTTGATGGGTAGGTCATGGTCGCACAACCCACACACGTGGAGGCATGAAGGAACTGAAACACACAGGTAATTTCCATTGGATCGGTAAACTTGAACATTATCCACTCAACCAAGAATACCGCGTCCGCAGAGGAAGGGTCGCCACCACTTGCCCCTGAGATCGCGGTACCCCTGGTAATTAGAACCTCCTACATGATGCCACTCCTACATGATTGCCAAGCGATTGTGCGCCGCGTGTGGGTACAACTCCACGGCGGGAAATTATGTTTTCCGCCCGCCGGATTTCGTATTTCGCCGCATCAATTTGTGTGTGTGTACTTTCGCTGACGCTTTGGATTCATTGCCAATCCATCTTATACTGTTTTCTGCGATACATGGAGATGGATTCGTTGGGTCATACTGACAAAATGAAAAAGACTGTAGCATCCACCGGGGGTAACTGTTGCGGTTGACTGACGTGCGCGTGTGTATGTACGTTGCGTGTGTAGCCTGCAACCGCAGCACAACTAAGGTGTCCGTGCGTCGGCTAAGTTTCTTGGGAGCAAGGCACACACCGGAGTTATCGCACAGGGGTGTCCGCTATACACCAAAATCAAATGATTCAATTGGAGTTCCGCACAGGGTCCGGGGTCTCCGCACGGTCCGGAGTCATCGGACAGGGGTGTGATGCAAACTAAATGGCGAACATGTTCCTACCGGTACTTTTATCTTAAGCCCCTTTGATCCCGAAGAAGCTTTAACCAAGGCTCCGTGCTGCTATGTGCAGGTGGCTAACATTATTATTTTTTTCAACCCTTGTTCCTGCCGTTCTTTTACATGTTGCCTTTCCCTTCCTCACCTCACAGCAACATGGCCTGCTGCTTCCAATGCATCCCCAACGCGGAGATCGGCGTGATCGAGAGGCTCGGAAAGTACCAGGGCCTCGCCCAGCCGGGGTTCACCTGCATCATGTGGCCGCTCGACAGCGTGAGTGATGGTTGATGCGTTCTCGTCTTTCGGTCTGGCGGCCTTTAGACTTGCCAGGATTGGCAATTGGTTCACGTCCATTAGGACTCCCATCACCACAGGCGGAGGTAGGGAGGTCGTTTTAAAGCAGTCCCGGCATCCCCCAGTCGCCGACGACAACTGGGCAAGAATATCGACCTTGCATGTGTGCAGGTGCTCTTCATGCATCGTACAGCATCCAATCCCAAGTCGGCAGCAGAACAACATCAATTATCGGTGTAGGTATCATTCTACATCCCAGGTACACCCCTTGTTCCTTTGCAGCTTTGACAAAAGCTATCCGTGTTTTTGCTTGCGATCTGATTCTTAAGTTTCGCTGCTGTGTGTTTTCGCAGATCGTGGCCAAGCTTTCCACGCGTGTGCAGCAGCTTGACGTCCGCATGGAGACCAAGGTACGCGTGCATGTCCGCCCGTCCTCCCACTCTCCCCCCCATCCCCCCCTCCTCGGTGTTTGCCATCGGGGTTGGGTTTTCGTCGCTTGGCAACGACGTTGTAAAACAAGCCAATCCACTTCGTGAACTCGGCAACCAGGTTACCGTTTTTTTTTTACCTCTTTTTTTTTGGCGGTAACCATAATGGTAGTCGAGTAGATCATGTTGTGCGGGGTGGAGAACACTCGCTCCGCGCAAGGGGGATGATCGCACCACGTTGTGTTAAAATGGTCAAGCACCCTCGAGGCAGCTACACAGTGATTACAACTGTCTCTGGAAGTG